TAACTGAAAAATACACAAATGTCAGGACATGTCAGAATCTCTTCAGGGCTCCAAAACACCTTCAGACTCCTAAGGGTTAAAGAAAATATCATGGAATTGAAATGGTGAAATAAAATCAATTATTACAACATCTCTCTTCCATTCTGGTTCCTCACAAATAGTGTCATTAGTCATTTGCTCAAGCAAACTTTTGCAGTTTAATATAAAAACCCCACCAAGCTATGAATATGCATACATACACAACCCTTAAAAAAACATCAATCAACCACTTGTCCTGGACAGAGTTGCAGAACATTATACCCTAACATCCATCCATGGGGGGGGGGGGGACAACTTGGAGCTTGTCCCAGGCAGCAAAGCTGGAGTACACTCTGCACGGGATAACCTTACAGAACTATTCAGGGTTAATATCATAAAATTAAAAATGATCTGTTACATTAATGATGACAGCACTTAAACGAGCCACTGTGGATTATAATGGTGTCTTGCAACCTAGAGGAATTGTTGCCAAGGGCTGAGAGCTGCGAGATAATGGGCAATAACAACAAGGAGGCTGAGAGCACACAGTGTTTTTAATTTTTTGTTTTTTTAAATCGTTCACAGTTAAACACAAGCAACTGCCCTTTAAGAACGTCCTACCCCAACCAAACTCCCCTTCGGCTACAGGCTTGATTGTACCACGGAGTATCCGTATCAGTCACAGTTCCTTTCGTTTGTTTTTGTTTGCTGAATTTAAAGTGAATTGTTGAACATGCTTATGATAGCTTGGCAGACGGAAACAGTGCAGATATTTCAGTGGACAACAGGATTTCATCATTAAAAATAACAATAATACACTAGTGTTAATTTCTCTAAATATATGAAAACGTGAATGCTTTCCTATACTGCCTGGCTGAAATAGTAATAAAAATTATAATAAATAAAACATAAATCCAGACAATCTGAAAAAAAAATCATATCGCCTTGGAGTTCGATTCAGATGCTTTTGCTCCCGGTACATATTTGGCAACAGGTGACTCTGAGTTTGTCCTTGCATGTCATCGTTCTTTCTGAACTCTCGAAAGGAGCCCAGGGTCAGGGGACTGACAGGCATCAGTTCCCGGGGCCGGAGTATAGCCGCTGACCCAGCCCTTGGGTGTGAAAGCACTTTCTTACACGGCAGAGGGTTAAATTTCACCACCAATACCACTTATAGTAGAGTAAGTCCAAGCTTGAAAGCAAGACTGACGTCTACCAGGATTGGAGGGATAGATCCACACTGCTGACAGCCACAGGCACACCATGTGACTGCATTCATAGGTTAAAAAAAAGACCTGGGACAGCTGGAGCAAAGTAAGCAAAGAGGTATTCAGGTCTACAAGCAGGAAGTTGAATGTGTACTTGGCACTTGACATGTAAAAAAAAAAAAAAAAAAAAACTGGGGAAGGTAAATGAACCAGGACAGGGCAGTCAAACGGATATGTGTGTAACAGTGAATCTCCAACACTAGGGGGCGGTAATGCAGCTGGCGGCAGGACAAGGCTCATTGTCTTATTGCTATGAGCCGGCACGATACGTCACACAGAGAATGCCCGACAAGTTCCAGGTGATTCGTCCCCAGAAAGGAAAGAAAAAAGAAACACAAGGAATTGCCAATCGTACTGCCAATCCTCTCTGCCAGCCAGAATCCTGCATATTCTTCCGTTTTATTGCACGATGTCACCCAACCGACAGGTTTAGGTACAGTGCACCATGGGTAACCAGGGCGACCCTGATCAGCCGCAGTGAGAGGAACACTGCACCAGTGACCCTGCCCAGAGCAGATGTCCACCCCGCAGCGTTGTGGTGTACCACACAGCTGTCGAGCAGCAGAAGGTCAGGGGCTGTACTGGGGGGGGGGGGCACTTTTTAAAAATGACCAACCATATAAAAAGAGCACCTTTAGAAGGTTCTGGGTTTCCTACAACCCGCACATACCAACTTGGCACTGCTATGCCCCCCCCCTTGACACTGCATACCTGCTCTGACACCCAGGAGCCCTTGTTTATAACACACTGTCCAACTCCCACATGTGGCATTTTCTAATACCTTAATTTTTGCTTGGTTCTGGCTTGTTTTTGTAATTTTTTAATTGGAATCCCATTCTTAAAAAATTCTAACTTAAATATAGGACACGTTGGTAAATTCGCAGACATAAGCTCTAAAGAAGCAGGGTGAACTGAATCCTTGGTGTGTCTGGGCTCTCCAGTCGGAGTACGGTGGCCTGCTAGGATCATTAGGAACGAATGGCCAAGCGGGCCGTACCATCAGAGCCCTGTCAAAAGCATGAGTTAAAGACCTCAGGGGATGAAAGAAGAAAGCGGGGAGGAATACAGAAAATGGTGAGGCTGATTGGTTGATAAATGTTATGCGGATAAGCAAACTGAAGCTCAAATCCTGCTGTCCACTCAAGGAATGGGAATCAACACTGAGTTCAAAGAGTCTCGCTTTGTCGGCCCCTGCCTGGGGCCCTTGGGGGCTCTTGGGGCCCCTCTAGCTGTGCTCGTGATGTGTCTCGTCATAGTCCATGATGCGAAGTTCCTGCTTCCTCTGCCGGGCAGAGCCAGGCCCAGAAATTGGCCCATCGCGGCTGTTGGCCCTCAGCACGTCCGGCCGGGCCTCCCTGGTGTGTGGCCCCCAGGCGGGCCTCAGGGGGTCCACGCACATCTCAGTCTTCAGCCCCTGGGAGAGGCCGGCCAGGCGCCGCGGGTCCCCGTCCCACGGGCCCTCGCTCTTGCAGCGAAGCAGCTCCTGCGCCCGCATGTCTAGGAAGCTTCCAGAGGTGGGACACGAGCTCATGGGGGACGGGGCGCCAGGACTCCCCCAGGGCGGGGGCGGCTCTACCCAGGCGAGCGGGCACCCCCCCCCACCATTCACAGAGCCTGGTGTTGGCAGGGGCAATAAAGTGCTAATGTTGCCTCTGTGAGGGGTAGCAGCGGGTGAGTTCACGTCCACTCTATCCTGGGGGGCTGTCTTCACCTTTGATCCCGGCAAGGACGTGTGATCCCCATCCATCCTGGAACAGACAAACAATCAGAGTTTATTTAGTAGATGCTTTTGTCCAAAGTGGCATTTTTGAGAAAGCAGGGTAAGACCATCCCTGAAGCAACTGGGGGTTAAGGGCCTTGCTCAGTGGTGAAGTCACTCTACCGACCCTGGGATTTGAACTGGTCACCTTCTGATACACAGTGTCCTAACTTGCTGAGCTACACACATGCTGTAACAAAGGGCCTGCATCATTTCTACACCAAGGGGCTATTCCACAAAGCAGGATTTCCTAGTTAGCTGGATAACTTAAGCCAAACGTGAAAACTGTCCAATAGAAGGAGAAGTAAATGACATTCCTTTTGGACAATCTTTACATTTTTCTTAAATTATCTGTCTAATGAAGAAATCCTGCTTTGTGGAACCCCACGCTGGGCAGCTACAAACAAAATTACCGTCTTAATTACTAGTAATTAACAGCTTTCTCCACCTCTAGGAAAGTTCATTTCCACCCAATTAACCCAATTCCACCACCACAAAGTGCCTCCTCACCTAGGAACAGAGAGGCTGTGGGGCTGCACAGTGCCCCCTGCTGGCACGGGGCCGCCCCCGGTGGCGGGACTCTCCACCTCTAGCCGGCTGTAGAGCTGCAGCAGCTCGGTCTGCAGGGCCTGCGTGACTCGCCTCTGGGCCTGGTACCTGCTCTCGGATGCCTGCAGCTCACCCCTGGGGGTGCGGTGGCGACATTCAGGGGAAAATGTCAGACATCAAGCTAAGTCCACCAAGCCAGCCCTCACAAAATGTGAATCAATAAAGAAACACTACTGAACAGACAATTAATAATACCATCTTAATCAAAGAAACATGTATCAGTATTGCGTTAACGGAAAAAAGTAGTTAAAGGTCATAACACATTTATGTCCAACTCTCAACATCACTGGCTTACCCATAAAGCACTGGGACAAGCGGCCGTGATTACAAGGGGAAATGACAAACAGTATTAGAACAGGGAGGCAGCCCGTACTTGGCCTGGGCCTTGACGTCCTCCAGAAACTTCTTCTGTTCCACCACCAGGTGCTCCTTCTTGGTCAGGTGGGCCTCCAGCTCGCCGATGCGCTGCTGGGCCGCCTCCAGGTGCTGGGCCTGCGTCACCAGGCTCAGCCGCAGCCGCTCCAGCTCCTTGTCCGAGGAGGCCAGCATCATCTGCTGCTCCTGCGGCACACGGGGCACACGTGCAAACCAGGTGGTGCAGCATCAGTCCTCGCGAAACAACCCCATTCCAAAACAAACCGTCTAAAGCAGCATACAAGCAGGTAAGCTCGGCAGAGAGCATTCCTGGAAGAATATAAATTATGGGTTTTGTTCAATCGCCAAAAGTTGATGTTAATACAAAGCTAATTATTTGAACCCACAACCTTCTGGGCACAGTCAAACACCTAAAAAGGGCTGAGGAAAAAATCAAAGAAGAAACAGAAAGTGAAGAAGTCAAACCAGTCTGACCCCAACACTTTCTCCATAGCGTCACAGTGCCCCCTCCCCCCCAGCGCTGACGGCCACTCTTATCCCCCCCGCCCTCACCTTGCTGGTGTCAGTGCCCGAGTGCTGCAGCTCCTCCATGCAGAGCTTGTTGACCTCCCCCAGCAGGAGCAGCTGCTTGTTCAGGAAGGCCATCTGCTGCTGCATGCTCTCACTGGTGGTCAACTGGGGGGGGGGGGCAAGGAGAAAGGTGAAAGGTCAAGGGGGAGGGGTCAGTTCAACTCATTATACGAGCATACTGGAGATAACCAATGTTTCCTTAAGGGCAGCTCCTAATGCCCACCTTGGAAATGAAAACGTTGAACTATGGTATTTTCACCCATCTATAAATTCTTCGCTTTGACATTCCTGCTGTCCATGTCTCCGCCCCAAATCAAAACAGAAGACCCCGCCCCCCCCGCACCCCCCGTCACGTAAGCCCCCTCACCTTGATGGACAGCTGGCTCAGCTGGTGGCCCATGTTACAGACCACGTTGTTGGCTTTCTGTAGCTCCGCCTCCAGCTTGCCCGTCATCTTCTGGCACTCCAGGAGCTTGCTCTAGTCGGGGAGGGGGGACCGCGGCTTCTCATTACACTATGATCATGTTCACTATGCGGAAGGCTGCTTTATACGGTGGGGTTTCACTCAGCACGGAATTTTTCAGCTGCATGTTGACAGGCACATGATAAGCTGCTGGTTCCGAGTGTGGTACTGTATATGTGTGTGTGTGTGTGTGTGTGTGTGTCTGGGTGTGGTACTGTGTGTGTCTGTGTGTATATGTGTTTCTATGGTACTGTATGTGTGTGTGTGTGTGTGTATGGTTCCCCAGACATGTTCCTGAGTGTGTGTGTGTGTGTGTAGTTCCCCAGACATGTTCCTGCTGTATGTGTGTGTAGTTCCCCAGACATGTTCCTGCTGTGTGTGTGTAGTTCCCCAGACATGTTCCTGCTGTGTGTGTGTGTAGTTCCAAAGACATGTTCCTGCTGTGTGTGTGTGTAGTTCCAAAGACATGTTCCTGCTGTGTGTGTGTAGTTCCAAAGACATGTTCCTGCTGTGTGTGTGTGT